ATACGACGACGACGACGACGACGACGACGAGTCGATGCCGGACAGCGAGTGGGACGCCCTCGAGGCCGCCGCCGCCCTCCGCCGCGAGGCCGAAGCCGCCCGCAGCTTTGTCCCTCCTTCAGATCCAGTGCACTTCTTGGGAGAGACGGGTCTGAGCAGCGCCGACTACACCTGCCCGAGGAAGCTGCGCAAGACTGCGCTCTCTCACTCCGAGCCACGCCCACTCAACCTGGTGGTGCGCATCGTCGCCAATGGGCCGAGCAAGAAGAACGGCTCAAGCAAGTACCGCCTCATGCAGGTTGACATTGGTGATGGTGTCGAGATGGATGTACAGGCACACGTTGGATCGGACCTATACAACGTCGACAAGAGGTACAACCCTTTTCCTCAGGGTTCCATTGCTGTCATGGAGGACGTTCGCGCAATCAACCGCGGCCGCGCTCTGGCGCTCGACTTCCTCCCAACCTCGCGCATGAGCAGGTGCGACGAGCTCGGTGTCACCTGGGACCAGGTGCAAGAATGGCATCAGAAGATGACCATGCTCTTCCTGCGAGGCCGCCTTCCCGCGGTCGAAGCCGAGAACAAGAGTCTCCGCGAGCGGGTGTAGGTGCGCAGTCGATTCCTCCCCTCGCGAAACGCCCTCATGCCCGCAGTCCAGGTCGTAACAGACGACCGAATGGGCGTTCAAGTTCGAGGCGTACGCCGACGACAACGACGACGACGAGTCGATCGGACAGCGAGTGGTACCCTCGCGACGCCGTCGCAGCCGCTGTTCTGTCAATGCCAATGCAGAGAGCTCGACGGCAAAAACACAAATGGCTGGATTGACACTGTCGCCGATGGCGATGAGGAGGAGACGCCGAAAATGACGAGCGCGAAACTGCAAACACGATGTTGCGCTCAAGCGGTTCCGAATGCAATCGTTGGCTCAGTGTCATTGTCTTCTTCTCGGCCAAGAGTCCGGTGCGTGTGGAAAGAGTGAGCGAGAAAGTGGGCGAGATGATAGCAAAGGGCTTGCCTAGCAACGCGGGCGTGCATGCATGAATTGCGAACGTACGCCTCCTGTTGCCAGCGAGACGGATCGCGTTCCGCCCACCATTATGAAAAGGGGGTGCCTGTTGCAAAGGTGTGGGTTTGTCTGCCTCCGGTCTCGGCACGGAAGGCAGTTGATGCCGCTATTCTTCTTTCTCAGGATGATGGCACAGTCCGCGAAGGTTGCACGCCTTAGGCGCTACGCGAACATGAGCTTGAGCTTGCCCGTTGCGACGCCCACTTGTCAGGCCTTCCCTTTGTTCCGCTCATATCCTTGAGGCCGACTTGTCCAGCACGAAACTTGACTCCCAGTGCGAATCCCCTTACCTGCTCTACTCATTCAACAAGGCTGATGAAGTAATGTGCGGAAAGATGTATCATAGTGTGACGGGTTGGTGAGCAAGACGATGCAGCGTGTGTGCGAACAATGGATCGCGGTCGATCTCGACGCTTCTCGGCGTCTGTTGCGCATGCAGATGAACAAAGCATTGTGCCTCGTACTGGCACACCCCTGTAGCCAACGGCGATCATGTAGGTGTGCAGCGAGTCCTTAAGTGTATGACAACGGACAAGACCGCGGTGAAGGCCCACCCACACGCGCGGTGCAGTACCTGGTGCAACCGCCCACACAACCTGTGCCTAGCCCGCATGGAACCGCGCTTGGGCAAGGCGTCCGTTGCTTCGACAACGTGTGTCAACCAGGAGCGAGGAATGAAGCTATAAGTAGCCACCTTAACAAGCGTTCATCGCAGCCACACCATCTCGTTCGTCATCTCATCCTCCTCCGCCTTCTCATCTCTGCCTTGCTGGACAAGACAGCCCCTGCTCTAATCAGACATTTCGCGCTTCGCTCTGTGCGCCTCCACATTCGAATTACCCGATCTCGCGACTCAACTCCATCTTTTTTTTGCACCATGACCTTCAAGCTCTCCGTCGGCCTTTTGGCTCTTAGCCTTGCCCTTCCCCTCGCCATCATCGATGGTGTCGAGGCCGGAATGGCCACCCGATACTGGGATTGCTGCAAACAATCGGCTTCGTGGGGATCGAAGGCACCTGTGTATGCTCCGGTCGACGTTTGCAAGGCGGATGGTGTCACTTTGATCGAATCTTCGACCGCTGACTCTGGACAGAGCGGTTGCAACGGTGGTGACCAGTACACGTGCAACTGCATGCAGCCCTTCAACGACAGCACCGACCCCACTCTGGCGTACGGCTTTGCTGCCTTCACCGCCGGTAACGAGGAGGCCACCGACTGTGCTTGTTACCTCGCCGAGTTCGCCCACGACGGTTCTGGCAAGGCGATGAAGCGCAACAAGCTCCTGTTCCAGGTGACTAACACTGGTGGTGACGTCAACAGCGGCAACATTGACTTCCAGATCCCCGGTGGTGGACTGGGTGCCTTCACCCAGGGCTGCCCTGCGCAGTGGAAGACTCCCGCCTCGCAGTGGGGCGAGACTTACGGTGGTGTCAAGGCTGCCGACCAGTGCTCCGGTCTTCCCAAGCAGCTCCAGGAGGGCTGCAAGTGGCGCTTCTCCGATTGGGGCGACAACCCTGTGCTCTCGGGCGCTCCCAAGCGAGTCAGGTGCCCCAAGGCGCTCATCGACAGGTCCGGCTGCCAGAGGAAGGACGATAACGCCATCGGCGCCTACCAGGGCAAGACCGATGCCGGTGGTAAGCCCGCTGAGAGCGGCTACAAGCGAGACCGCAGCGTCTGCCTCGGCGGCGCTTCCAGCAGCAGCAGCGGAAGCCAGCCTGAGGGCTACGGTGCTGGCTCCAACGGTAACGCACCCCAGGGTGACGCACCCCAGGGCAACTCTCCTCAGGACAGCGCTCCTCAGGGTGATGCTCCTCAGGGTAACGCTCCCGAAGGCTACGGCGCCGGCTCTGCTCCTCAGGGAAACGCTCCTCAGGTAAACGCTACTCCCGGATCCGATATTCCTCCTCCTAGCGGCAACGGCGATGCTCAGAACGCGCCTGCAGACCAGGGTGCCCCCGCCCCCGCCCCCGCCCCCGAGGGCTACGGCAACAGCCCCAACGCTCCTGCTGCCGGAGCTGCCAATGGCGCTCAGAGGCACAAGCAGTTCAAGCAGCACAAGAAGCCTCAGGCTGCCGAGCAGTGCGATGCGCCCAACTAGACTCGTCCCTACCAGATGTCGACACCTGTCACTTTGGGCGTCCCTTTAAAAAATTCCATTATGTCCCTCTTATTCTACTCTAACACGTCATGACCTTTTCTCGCATGACGTGCCTGGTCTGATTACGCCGAAAGCGCAGCGAGAGACACGCGCAGATCTAGCCGATGGTCGTGGCCATGCAGGCGTTTCGGCATTTTTCTGACTCCACGCGAGCTGAGCCTCGCAGGG